CTTGGGTGTGGCGCTCCTTTTTCTTCTTCTGTTTCCACTGTTACCTTGTTCATATTGCAGGCGCTTTTCATCAGGAATCACTGGAGATTCACGGTCGCCACAGGGAAAGTGCCCCTCTGATGTGCCAAATGCAGAGTGTCAGACATTGTGTGGAGGTTTGTGCTGCTGGGCCCGGCTGGCTGGCTCGATCGTAGACGGCTGTCAATCGTTGGCATCATAGCCCCCGTGGCCCATGTTGCCCTTGTCTGAATTCTGATACAGAAAAGGATTACCAGTGTTTGAAGCTGCTTTTAACATTTTATCTAGCGCACACTTAGAAAGACTGTATGTAAATCGAAACAGGAGAAAACCTTGCTAGGGGGAACAGATGAAGAAAAAGTCAAATGTAACGGACCATTTCTTACTCGATTGGGGTGAAATATACTGTATCAGAGATCAACGGTTCAATGATGCTGAAAGCAGCAGCCCATTTTCATCGGTCAAATATAGCGCCCGGACGTGACAAAAATAATTGCACTCTGCGTACAGTCACGCTTGACTTGCCCGGGTCAGCTGACTGAATTTACTCACCAGATTATTCGACACGAAAACTGCACTGGTTATTCTCTTTTTTTTGTAGGCAACTGCACTGATTATTCGATTGCCGTTCACTAGATTCATCTCCAGCAAAAGAGAATAGCAGAAGGAACACAAAGAAAAAGCAGGTTGGGCTGAGTCATGCATGACCGAGCTGCAGGGATTCTTAAATCGGGCAGAAAGGAACCTTAATGTAGATGTATTCTCTCCAGACGTGTAGAAAATAATAAGAACCTTTAGTACAAGTATCAGTCGCACAAGTATGACACGACGTAGATTCGCCAAAAAAAAAGGTATGACACGACGTATACGGAAACTGACCTTGATTGTTAAGTATATCTCGTCTAATCCTGTACTAATTAACACGCAAAATTGAAATACTCAAGGGAATCCAAGTGTCGCCAATGATGATCCTCTTCGGGAAAACAAAAGGGAATGGGTGATCCCAGATTTCTGATAGCCGCTGGAAGAAGGAACGGAAGTCTACCCGGCAGGCAGGCCACGTCTAGAATTTTCGCGTTTAAAAATCCCGGAAATTTCTCCCTGAAACCGTGAATTAAGCGTCTCAACACTCAACCACCCAACATGAACATGAAAGAAATTGTACTACCCCTCAAAAAAAAAAAGAAATTGTACTAGACACCATGGAGCGTGGATCCAGTGCCTCAGCTGTTCAACCACCAAACATCAACATGAAAGGAATTCGTTCCTCATTGTCAGTCGTCTTGTGAGAGAAGTTTCTTGTTATTACGCATATGACACCAGTCTAAGTAACTATCTTCATAGTGCAAAATAATATAATAGTAGTGTCATACAAGACTTCATTTATCAGCTTGTAGACTCATCTTGTCTTAAGAATCGTTGAGTTACAGTAACATATTATGTTATCATTTCTCATTAACTACATGCCACATAAGTAAGAAAAATTATAGTGCGCTATTAGCTAAGTTACTCCCACTATGACTAGCCTTACCAACTTAGCATTACTTATTCCCAGCTGAAACTTAGAAAAAAAAACACCCAGCTGATGCGTACGTTGTACATAAAAATTAAGAGATGCACGCCCCAAATAATGTTGTAGGTCGATCGAGGAATTGCAGCTGGATGCCTACGCCTACGGTGGTTAGCGGACAAGACGAAGTAAAGAACGAGTCAGTTGTTGGGCTGACACAGTGGCCATGTACCTAGCTGGGCCCACGAGTCTCGTGGCATTGACTTTTCGTCGTATGATTAACGCAACAAATAAGAGTTGTTTGTTCTACACTAGTAATAATGTACATGCAATGCACGTTTATATTAGATAGGATATTAGTTACATGTTATAGTATTAGATAAAATATATCTGTTGCATGTTATTTGGTAAGATATCAATTACTTTTTCGCGGGAATGGTAGGATATAAATTGCATGACAGATTTCATGGGATAGAATTGAGTCATAACGTGTTTATAACCAATGACAATGGTGAGTAATTAGAGCGTTAAACGTGTTTGTGCTCAACATTGGAACGATTTCGAACGCTAGATAACATGATTTGACGGTTGAGATGATTTGAATCTGCCCTATTAAGTCTTTTTATATTGATATAGATAAGCACATTGTGTGCAGCGACTTTAGCCGATGCAAACACTAGTTGCCGCGATACATATGTACATGTACGTGTCATGGCTGACGAGGACGCATGCGCTAACATGCAGATGCATGCATGCCTCTCCTAGATCTGAACCGCCACACGTGTACCCTCCGGACGGCGTATAGCAAACATGTTGAAGTAGTAGCACCAGATCCATTCTTTACTTGCACACCAATTAATTGACCCGTTTTTTACATGCTCACCACTGCCGCGATGCCGCTCCTTTCCCAGCACACACGCACAGACACACGCTAGAGAATGCAGGGCTGCAGCAGTGCAGACCAGTATATACGACGGAGTACATTCGGTGTACCTGGATGGATGGAGTATCGATCATGCACGTGCGCTCGAATCTAACCGTACATTAGGCTGCCTCTAAACACTGGGTTTAACTAAAGCAACCTCGACACACTACTGACACTAATCATGGGTTAGCCTTTTTCGCCGGCCAATGAGAAGGCAACACACGCCCACATGGTTAGGCACACAATAAAACAGTCTCCGTGCCATGGACCTCGGCTAGCTTTCCCTTTCCCTGGACGGGAATCATGGCTCGTGTTGGTGCAACGTGCACGGCAATGGGAGCCGTGTCATGACCGAGGAGACGCCTTCGCAGATTCCCGTCTCTACGTAGGCAGCGCCTACGGCCAGCACGTATGGTATGATCGTCAGAAAGAGGCTTGCGCTTTACGGAGCCTGGACGGTTGTTTAAGCGAGGGCGTGGCGGGCCTCGCGTGGGGAGCAGGGCCGTACGTGGATGCGCTTTGGCTTGGGGGAGACGCACCTGCACGGCTCAAGAATCGGGTAGGCCAGACCACCTTTGGCTTTGCAGGTCGTCGAGTCGTCTCTGTGTGCAGTGCAGCACGGTTTGATTAGTGCGGCTCTTAATTAGTAGTACTACTGCGATTTGGCCGTTGATAATTTACTACGAACTGCATAGCCGCCCTCGTGAGCAGCGGCGGCCACTTGGAGCATAGAGAATCGGGGAACCAATGGCATCTGGCTACGACGGCGAGGCCTCTTTCCGGGAAGCAAGCACAGCTAGCTTTTGCCTCGCTGAGATTCGTGCCCCAGATTAATTTACACTCACGAAACTGCACGCCCAAGCACAGTCGCTTTGTTGGCTACTTGGCCAGTAGCAGCAGTAAACAAATGCTGACGTTTTCACCAAGGGGAGTCCGTAGCTCGATGTCGCTTGCGAAGCGCGCAGCTGGACGATCAAGGGAAAGAAATTAATTCGTTTGCGTAGACATCTCCCGGGGCTCGCCGGGTTTTGCTTGGAAGCGCACGGTGCCGGCAACGGAGCGGCCGAGGGGCACGGCTCGGCTTGGCAGCACGAGTGAGGCGTGAGCGGTGGCCGTTCATGTGGTGTCACGCACCGATGCACGCACGCACGCACCGGTGGTCTGACACATGCCGGGTCCATGGCTCCATGCCATGCGTCCGTCGGATCCAGCCGGGACGCGACGTGCTTCCTCCGGGACCGATCGCTGTGCCAACGTGGCCTCCAGGGTTCTACGGTCCACCACACTTGCAACGGTGCAGACCCTATAGTATGCTATTTCAATCTGACAACGGTTAGCTAGAACTGTATCTGTATGTGTGGTTGCAATGCAAACGGACTACAGTACTAAAATTTCTGCAACTTTTTAAATAGGAATACTGTTTCTCCTGAAAAGATAGCCTTTGCTTCTGCTCCATGCGTGTACTAACAGAACATGAACGGGTCGTCAGAGAATACAGTACTGTAGACGAAAGTAGAGCACTCCCGCCCGTGCATGCGTAGTCAAAAATGGAGTTCAATCCCTAGCATCTTGATCTAGCGGATCAAGGAAAATCATTAAATCAGCTCGTTAACAACCCAAAATAATGCGAATGCATAACAAGTTTCTTCCTCTATCTTTAATAACCCCCTTTGCTAGCATGTAGTACTGTACTACAGAATTAATGCTAAGTACTCTACTCCCTCTATAAAGAAATACAAAATCATTTAAATCATTAATATAGTGATCGAAACGATCATCAGGAACGCCAAAGGGAAAATGTTCAGTTGCAACATCTGTTTTCATTTACCAACGAGAATACACTCGTAGGCGAAAATAGAGTAGTAGTACTACTATTCGTGCATTCGTGCATGGGCAGGCGATCATGGAGTTAAATCCCCGTCATCTTGACTAATATCAACAGCAACACAAAGTGAAGTAAATGCTTAACGAATCTCTTTCCGTGTATTCTTTCCACCTTTTCCTGTAGCGTGCACTAACGTACTTTAGTTGGAATCTTCCCAAAACTTGTGCAAGTCCATCTCCTTTCTGCATGATTAACAGAGGAATTTTGCACGGACGTTTGATTCATAATATAGCGACATAATCTCGTTCAAGCGAGGAGTACTTTTCTGGCGAGATTTCAGGGTGCATAGGATCGATCGAAAGATGAACGGTGAACGCAAAACGTGAAGCTCAGAAAAGTCATGATCTTTGGGCAAAATTTTGTGCTGAAATACTGATTTCCAGATGGTTTCGATTTACATATGGTGTTGCCACAACCGCGGCTCAAAGCCTCAAACAAACACGCACACAGAGGCAAAAAGGAGCCAGGAGAAGGATGCGTCCAGCGGGCGACTCAGATGGCCGGAGCCTCAGCACATGAACTTTCTCAGATCCTTCACTGCTTCTCCGGCACAGGCGAGACAAGAAAGAGAGATCAATCTCCTTGGCCTCGCCAGATCGGTGATTCTTGGGATCCCGTTGATTCAAGCCGAGCTCTACTCTATCGGCCACGAGCTTCGCCGGCTAGCTCGCGACGGACACCTTCCTGGACTCCTGGTGCCCGCTCCGGGCCTCCGTTCCCGACGAGAACCGCTGCTGCCTCCGGGCGGCCTGCCTGGCGGCGATGGCGTCGAGCTGCATCTGCTCGTCGCGGCACTCCTCGCTGCAGAAGGGCGTGTCGCCCTTGTACATGAAGATGTCGCTGTCGCGCGCGAGCGGCTTGGTGCAGAGCGCGCACGCGTCCTGCGCCGGCATGCCGGGCTCGCCGAGCGGCTCGGCGTCGAAGAAGAAGAAGGAGCAGGCCGCTGAAGCCGCCATGATACGTGTGTGTATGTGTATTTCGAGCGAAATGCTGAGCAGAGCTTTGCTGCTTTTGGTGCGGGGAGAGGGAGGAAGAGGAGAGCGAGCGAGCGAGCGAATGAGTTGGGTGGGTGAAGCCGAAGGGGAAAGGCCGGGTATATATGGTGCGCGGGGACGGACACGGCGAGGCCGTCGGGAAACTGTGGTCCGGTGCGCCCACGGGTCGGGCGATACCGCGCGCCGGACGGCCGGGGCTTCCGTGGGGAGAGATGCTACACTTACGGACGGATTGCAACGGGATTAGACTTACGGAATCACGTGGAGAGTTATTGTTGGAGAAGATTAGGAAAAAGAGGTCCCACCAGTTACAATCAGGGAAGTTGGTTGGTGAGAGACGAGTCCGTAAAACTACTCCGTACATACTTTCCGTTAGTGTAGCATTTTTGTTCCGTGGGTAGCCATGGGTGATGGAGCGGTTCGGCGGCTTGTTTATTCTTCGCGCATGGGCCACGGTGGAGTACAGTGGTTGGCTTTCATGGTGGACGTGGGACACGCATGCGCTCTCTCGGCTCCACCGAGACGAAAACGACGGCGATCGTGCCATGTCTCCCCAATGATGAAAGCGCAGGCATCGCTCTTGAACGTCCCTGTTGATGTAAGTGTGCTATTTTTTTCAAAACTACTAAAAAAGGTAAATTGATAACAAGGTATGCAAAAAAAGTTCCTAAGAGCATCTCCAACTCGCAGGTCGTGCCGCGCGCAAAAAACAGATATACCGCGTGCACATCGTCTGGTTTGGCGCGGCGCGCAGCGCTGGCTCCAGCAGCCGCGCTAAAATGCAGCGCGCGCGACTCGCCGGTGCATTGCATATGACATTTTCAACACAAAATGATAAACATTTTCCAACACAATAAAAATTTCACCCAAACAAGTTGATGAAGTTCATGCCCACATGTTTAAAATCATGCCCACAAGTTCATCCAACCAAGTTTAAAATGCAAATCAAGTTCAATACACAAATGAAAAACACATCATTCCTCGTCCTCGTCCTCATCTTAGGAAGACGATTCTTCCGCCTCCGAAGATGAATCTTCCTCCCTCTCCTCATCGCGCACCGCATCACGTGAAGCTCCGACGGTGTTGGCAAGATCTTCAACGGCATCTTCATGGGAATTTGTGCGAGCAGGCACATCGAAAGACATTCCGCCTATGGCGGCCGGAGGTGCACCCATGCCTCCCATGAGAGAAGCAAAACTCATGCCTCCCATGATGGCCATAGCGTCGGGGGTGCTCCAAAGCCAGGCATGCTTCCCATTGCACCTAAACCGCCCACGGTACCTCCGAAGCCACCCATGCCACCCATAGCGCCGAGGCCACCGCCACCCATTGCGTTGAGGCCACCGCCACCCATTGCACGAACCATGGCTTTTTTTGGATCAAGACTTCTTCTTGGGCAAGATTGACATACTCCTTTTGCGCCGCATTGAGGTTAGTTGTGTCCAAGAAGAACAAGTGCTTCTCCCATTCCAACAACCTAGTTCGCTCCTCATTGCTCACCTTTCTCTCCTCCAAAACCATCTTCCTCTCCTCGGCTGCCACCCTCCTCTCCTCGGCCGCGACATCTTGGGTCCTTGCCATTTTCCTCACCTCGTTGGCTTCTTTTCTTGCCTTCACAATAGCTTCCATAGCATTTTTGAGCTCATCATCTCCTTTTCTCTTCTTCTTTTCGGTTTTGTCTTTCTTGCACCCATCCGGCCGCTTTGGCTTCGAGTATGAAACTGAGTTGGGTGTGGGGCTTCTCTTGCCGTCATCACTTGATGCATCATACTCCTCATCATCATCATCCAACTTAATTATTCGTTTCCGTTTGTTGCTCAAATGCAAATCATTCAAATCTTCACGCTTCTTCCATTTCTCATCATCCTTCAACACTTCATAGCAATGAGGCAAAGTAAATACCCTTCCTTTCTTGATCTTCCCCTTCTTGGTTTTCCTCTCCTCTTCTTTGAACAAGTTTTGCGCAATGTTGTACTACATGAAAACAAAGCAAGTTAGCACCAACAACAAGCAAGACAAAGCAAGTTAGCACCAACATGTAAGATGAAATGGCACTTACTCTATCGTCCTCATTTGTGCCACTTGGGTTCAACTTGTCAACCGCCTTTTGACAGGCCGCCCACCTTTGACAATCCAAGTTGATTGTCGACCATCGGGACCTAAGTGATCGGTTGGAGCGGTCAATTTCACTCACGTTGCGAGCATCAAAGTGTTCCTTCATCCGGTTCCAATAAGCATCTCTACTTTAATCACCTCCAACGGATGGATCCCTCGACACTTGCAACCAAGTATTGCATAGTAAGATGTCATCGGCGTTGGTGTAATTGCCCGCTCTTCATTTCGGTGCGTCGACAATGCCCTCACCCTCCTCGTCCACCTCGAACTCATGGTCTTCAAAATGCATGTCATTGGTTTGAGACCAATGTGAATTGTTGGAGCCAACACCCATCGTTGACATGTATGCATCATCATTGAGACTACAAATTTTTTTGCACAATGCAAATAAGCTATCTATATGTGACGAATGCATTCAAAAAATAACAAAAAAAATGAAAAGTTAGAATTTTTTTTACCTTGGAGGCATTTCGTCGAACATGTTGTGCGCGCCGACCGCCGGCTCAACGAGTGAGCTTGCCGGCGCTTCGGCAGCCGCCGCGCTCGTCGCACGCCCCGCAAGCTTCTTCCTCCTCGCCGGCGGCTCGGGCCGGCGCCGGCGCGACGCCACCCGCCGCCGAGGTCATCCGCGGC